TTCTTTCTTTCTTTCTTTCTTTCTTTCTTTCTTTCTTTCTTTCTTTCCCACCTGCCCCCCCCGCCCCCTTAAACGGCACCGAGCGAACCTAATCGCAGAGCCTTTCGCCTTTCCGGGGCCTCACCTTGACGCCGGATTTCGTTTTTGCCTGCCCTTCCTCCGACAGCCCTGGCTGGAGCTCGGAGGGAAGGAAACAATCAATTCGTTAAAAAACAGAAAAGCGGGGTAAAAAACAAATAAATAAATAAATCCCCCGATCCGTCGTTTGGATCGCGGTTTGGGGGGAGGGGGCGGGGAGGGGGGGTTGTTTGGTTGTTTGTTTTCTGTCCCTACCCCACCCCCTCTCCACCTTTTAAAAAAACAGCCCCGGGGCGGGCGGGGGGCCCCGCTTCCCAGGACCGAGATGGGAAAAGAGGTGGGGATGGATGTTGCGCCGCTGAGCGGGGTTGCGCGGCTCTTTGTGCGCGGAGCCGGGCGGTGGGAGCGCACCCTCTCCGCGCCCTCCGCGCCCGCACCTCCGCCACCCGCAGCACGTGGAAATTTCCACGTCCCAGCTGCCTTCCCCCCTTTAACCTTGGTGTTAATTTAGGACGGATCTTTTTAAACGTCTCCGTAATGCATTCAGACGCTGCTGGAGGTTTATCTTTTTTTTTTTTTTTTTTTTTTTTTTTTTTTTTTTTTTTTTTTTTTTGTACGGTGGGTTATATTTACACCCAAAACAAAATAATTACACTTTTGTTGGAGAGAGAAAGCTGGTGATTAGACCGGGGCTCTTTGCAGCAAACCCTTTCTCAGTGGTACACCAGGACAATTTTTCACGGCTGGGTGAAATCAGACGCGGGAGGTAATGAATCCTGTGAGCTATTTAAATTTACAATTTGTAACGCAGTCACTCAGAAACGCCTGTGGCCCGGCGAGGAGATGCTTGCTGGGTTTGTTTAATGTTAAAATCGCACTGTCCCGCTTTTGCCGGGTGGGGATGTGGGGAGGGGAGAGGGGGCGAGCGGTGGGAGCCCCGCACAGCCCCGCACAGCCCCGCGGACGGCCGCGGATCGGGTTCGGCTCCCCGCCCCGCCGTCCGCGCTGCTCCGCCGTTCCCCGGCGGCTCCACAAAAAACTAGTTGGAAATATCAACAAAGTCGGCGGCGGAGCATCCTAACAGATAGATAATTAATTACAAAACACAGGGGGAATATGCAAACCGCGTATTACAAATTCTACAGGGCTTAACTGATTGGAAACAGATTATTATCTTGTTTGTCTTTTGTCTGTTTCACTCATCCCTCTGTCGCTTGTTGTGCTGTAAGTTGATACACTTTATTCTTGAAAGGAGATTTTTTTAATGTAGTAAATTCCATCAGCATCTTGTATAAGCGACGCCGCTCCTGCACGCGTTGCCCTGTTAAAACACAATAGGTTTATTAGTTACATACAGGCGATATTCCGCCGCCTGAATCACCAGCTGTTACCATAAGGAATGCTCTGGCGGGAGCGGGCTGGGGGGCCACCGGGCTGCGTTCTTGTTCTCCCCTCCCCGTTGCATTTATTTATTTTTTGGCTTTCCAACGAAACGGGGGGCCGAGCCCGGCGGCGGGGAGAGCAGCGCTTCGCACCCGCGGCCCCGCCCGCACGGCGGAGACGGGGGGGTCCCGGGGGTCGGTACCGCAGAGCCGAGCCCCGCACGGCGCCGACGGGGCGCACCGGGAGCCGCCGTGGAAATAAAATCGAGCGTGAAAAGCGGCTCCGCCGCCCGCACGCTGCCCTCGCCCGGAGGTGTGCGCGCATCGGGGTGCGTGGCTGTGTGCGCACACGGCCGCAGGCACGCACGCAAACGGCGAACGGCTCGTTGGGTCCCGGCCCGGCCGCGCTGACGCCGGGAGTTGCGGGGTCGGGGCTGCGCCGAGATGCCGCCGGCTCCGGGGTTTGGCCCCGCACCCCCGCTTCCCGCAGCACGAAGCGCCGCGGAGCGGACCGAGGTCAAACTTTGGCGGAGGCGCTGCGGCAGACGGCCCGGGGCCCCAGCGGCTCCTGCTCTTCACTCCGTTTCCCTTTTCCTTCCTATTTCTTTCTTTTCCAGTTGTTGCTTTCTGAATTTCCTCCTCTCTTTGTTTTCTTTCATTTCCTTCCTCTTCTCTCTCACTTTCGCGGGCGCTTCTTTCCTGGCTTTCCCTTTTTCGTTTTCCTTATTTTCCGTTCTTTCTCTTATCCCTTTCTTTTAATTTCTTCCTCTTTTCTCTTCTATTCTTCTGTTGTTTTCCCTGTTTGCTTCTCCATTCCGTTCTTCTCTCATAATTTTTATTTTCCTTTTTTTTTTCGTTCTTTTCCCCCATCTTCCTTTGCTTCCTTTTCTTTTCATCTTCATTTTTCTTTTTCTTTTATCTTCATTTTTCTTTATTTTCCCCTCCTTTTCCGTTTATTTTCGTTTTTCTTTTTTTGTTAGCCCTCGTTTGTTTGCTTTTTATTTCCTCCTCTCTCTCTCCTTCTCTTTTTTCTTTTTTTCTTCTTTTTTTTTTTCTTCTGTTTCCCTCTGCGGTTGTTCTGTTTTTCGTTTGGTTTGCTTCTGTATTTTTCGTTTTATTTTCCCTTTTGCTTTTTCTTTTCTTTTCTTTTCTTTTCTTTTCTTTTCTTTTCTTTTCTTTTCTCTCCTCCTCTATTTTCATCTGTTCTGTTGGCGGTCTCCGCATTTCTTCTCTTCTGTTCTCTCTCCCCAAACTCACCGATCCTCCTTCCCCTGCCCGGTGATGCCCTTATCCTGCGGTTTTGGGGTTTCTTTTTTGGCCGCTACTGAGATTCTTTCAACCCGGCCGTTCTGCTCCTTCCTCCCCAGTGCGGGGAACGAGCGAGGACGGATGTAGAGGGGCGGCTGCGGGGAAGGGAGGAACGCGAGGGCCACCCCAGGGCCGAAGCGCGGTGTCCCGGCGTCCCTCGCCGCCGCCGGTTCTCGCAGCTCCGCCGCACCTGAAACTGAAGTGGACAAACAGCGGAGAAGTGCGGCGACCCCCGGCTGCGGCATCCCCCTCCTTCTCCTCGCCCTCCCCCCCTCCCGCTCAGTGTCAGCCCCTCTCCCGACGGAGCGGCCCGGAGGGGACACGGCTGCGCGACAAAGGCCGGCGGGGGGGGGCACGGCACTGCGCGGAGCCGCGTAACTTTTCTTCTCCTCTGTCCCCACCCCCGGGTTCCTCCTCTCCCCCCCACCCTCACCCCCTTCGTGCTTTCACCGCCCACCCCGGGCACAGAGCGGGCTGAGAGGGGAACAGCTGCGGGAGTGGTGCGAACAGTGACAGAACAGGTGACAGGCCCCGTCCCCGCTCGGGACCCCCGGAACGAACATCCCCATCAAAGAGAGAATTAAAGAGAGAGAGAGAGAAAGGCTGAGCAGAGCCCCCCCGGCACCCCAGGCCAGGTGCGTACTCACTTGGCGGCGCAGGTACAAGCCACCGTCAACAATAGAGGCGCGTTGTTTTTTTCCCTCTGTGCCAAGCACAAGGCTGGAGCCAATTTAGATATGCTATAAATTAAGAGGTTGCCATGGCCACCGCGCTGCCATTGGCCGCCGCCCGCCCGACGCGGGCCCCCACGTCACCAAATCTGAATAAGGATGCGCGAATTACTAAGGCGGGGGACAAAGCTGGCGATGGGGACAGCATGAGAGTGGCGGCGCGGCGGCGGAGCACAGCGAGGCACCGGGGCCGCCGGCCGCTGCGGGGGCGTTCATGCACCCCTCCCGCACCCGCACGCAGCGCGCCCGCCGCTCCCCGCCCGCTCTGCAGGGACTCGGGGGGCTTCCGCGGGGGGGCTCTGGCTTCTCTCGCTCGGGGCACCGCTTTTTTCCTACCGAGGCTCCGGAGAGAAGAGGGGGAAGAACTTGACAGCGATTCCGCTCCCCCTCCCTGATTTTTTTTCTGATTTTTTTTTTTAAATTCTTATCATTTTTTTATAATTCTTTCTTTTTTTTTTTAATTATTATTACCTTTTTTTTTTTTTTTTTTTGGTTGGTTGGTTGGTTGGTTGTGGGTTTGGGGATTTTTTTTATTTTTTTTTATTTTTTTTTTAAATAGCATTTTTCTTCCTGACGTCCGAATTTTTGAGACCCCGTCGTGTGCCGGCGCGGGGCTGATTCCTTTCGTCTGCGCGTTTCCATCCCGGCGCGGTGATGATGGTGCATTGTGCGGGCTGCGAGAGGCCGATTTTGGACCGCTTCCTGCTGAATGTCTTGGACAGGGCATGGCACATCAAATGCGTCCAGTGCTGCGAGTGCAAATGCAACCTGACCGAGAAATGCTTCTCCAGGGAAGGAAAACTCTACTGCAAGAATGACTTTTTCAGGTGAGTGAGCCCCCAGCAATCACAAGCCCTTCCAGGCGCTGCGGAACCGCTGCTCCCAGCTCGGCGGGGTAGCAGAACTCTGGGGCTCCTTCTGGGATCTTAGGGGAAAGAAGGGGGGGCACTTGGGGGCACCCCTCCAATCTTCATCCATCTATTCCGTGGGTCTTCGCCGCGTCTCTCCGGCGCGGTCCCGGCCCCGTGGCGCCCCGGGGCTGCGCCGCATCCCGAGCGAAGCTGTTCGCCCCCCCCGCCCTGGGTGACCTTGTCTCCGAAAGCAGCCGGGCCCGTGACCCGCTCTGCCGCCGCCCCCCCCTCTCAGCAGGCCCGGAGGCCTCAGGGCTGGGATCGTTTTCCCCCTCTCGACCGTCACAGCGGCCTTTCCCCACCTAAACGCCTCTCCTCGTGCAGCACTCCAGCCGGGGGCCTCCACGCTGCGCCGTACCTTAAACGCCCCTAATGACTGCGATAAGGTGCCGAGAAGGAAATTAGGGGCTAGCGTGGGTAGGGGAAAATGACTTACGACTTATAATGCCTTCACTACATCAACGTCACGGGCAGCAGTGCGGGGGGCTGAAGTTGTGCCGCGGCCAAGAGGGAAAAGGAGAGCCTAGGTGCCCCCCCGGTCCTGGCAGCCGCTGTGAAAGGTTTTGTCTTTTTTTTTTTTTTTTTTTTTTTTTTTTTGTCTTCCCCTCGGGGAGTTCGTTTTCTGAATTTTCGCCTTCCCTGGAAAAAATAA